CAGGAAGACTAAGAATCTGAACAAATGTAATTTTATATGTTAATAGTAGTAAATAAATAAAGGGGAAAGGAGGAATGCAATTAGTGTGGTGGCTGGGATGGAAAGAACTGAGATGTTTTCTAATGGGTTGAGGTGTGTGTGGGGGGTCAGCTAATCTTGGAGGTGAGGGTCATTTCTTTAAAAAGAAGGACACACACATGCACGCACACACACATACACACTCTCTCTTGTGAAAAGTGGTAGCCTTTTCCAGAGAGACATTAGGGTTTTTTAGTACATAAGACACTTCTCACAAATATGCAATGCTTAAAAGATTAAATCCATGCCTTTACATGTCTGCTTGGTCTAACTTCAGTTTGCATGTCAAAAAAAGGGTATCCTTAGGCTGATAAACTGATCTCGGGAAGGGGGTCAACCTTTATAATGGTGTTGGTGACGTTTTTATCAGGGCAATATTCTAGTGTGTTAACTAATAATGGTGTGTGTATGTGTGTGTGTGTGTCCGTTCCTACTTTACCTGTGGCTAAAGGGATCTCTCTCAGTTCTTCTTACTGTTAATTTCACATACGTAATAAGATAGTCCCCCAAACTAGTTAAACACACTTTTTCCCCATGAGTCTTAATCTTGGCAGATTCATACTATTTTATCATATAAAATAAAGCAAATAAAATATCTTGAAACAGTCTTCATGTGACAGTTCAGGGTAGAAGTGACTCTTCGCTGGTTTTGGAGCCTGGAGAGTTAATGATGAGACGAGGCTGTTGACAACCGGAGGTTTTTCAAGTCCTGGTTTTCCTGGAGTGTTCTCCACTTCTTACTTTGAATGAATGACCTGAGTGAGAATGCTAAGATTTTCCTTCTTAACCTTACTCCATTCAAAAACATACTATTACAGATACTCCTTTATGTTCACCTGATTTTAATAACATTCAGGTATACAAGCTGATCAAGTCTGATATGATAGGGTATGAAAGTAACACACCAATGTAAAAAGCCGTCTGGAATGATCTCTTTCTGTGAATTTTCCCAACAGTTGTGGCACATTTTTAAAAGGCTGTTTTAAATTTAAGAACATTTATCTGAGAATGCCTAATTGAGAAAAATATTGCATTGGTAAATTGCTCTGCTCCAGACAACTGCTATTTCTTCTTCAGATTTAAAGTCCCAAATCACAATCTGTGTTTAAGAGCTTCAAGCAGTAATTACCTCTGTGTCCTTAAAAGGACCTGCCGGTTTCCCTGCAATCTTTTACAGGGTGAGCAGAGCTATATCCACTGATAACCCAGCTGCCGAGGAACTGAGTGAAGCCGGCTCCAAACTTCTCAGCTGTTGACAGGCTTGACTTGCTGAGAACACTGGTTAAATATAGCACGCGCGAGCTCAGCTCCTCAACAAAGTCATTGCTCCGACAGTGTTGTGAAGGGAGCAGAAGAAGAGAAACCTAATCTCAGAACCCAACAACACCTAGCAACAGTTGAAAAAACTTTTAAACAAAAGTCTGGGTGGGAGATAGACACCAGCCTCCAATTTCTGCTGATCGGGATTTCAGGGAGAAGAAGCTGCTTTCCCCTTCCCTCTACTCAGTTTCCTGCATGACTTCAGCTGTTGGCTAGTCCTAGGAAAGAAAGTGGGAAAAGCTTTTTCCTCTGTATTCTTTTGGGCTGGATAGTTTTCCAAGACTCCAGTCTCTCTGGGGCTGTGGGACAAGCCACTGGGTTCTTCAAAGGATAAACTACCTCCATAAAGGACATACCCTTGGTTAAACAAGCTGCCGTCAGGTAAGACCAAAATAAACAGCTATTGACTCTCTTAAATTTCTGCTTCTGTCAGAGGAGTGTTCTCTCAGATTCTGTGTTGTCGGGTTCCTTTGATTCTTACTGTCTCCACTGTGTGATAACACATTTAAGGAATTATCATAATCATTGTAGATTATTTTGAAAGAATCAGTAGCATCATCTCTCTCAGAATTACACCAATTCCTTTTTAAGCACAAAGGTTGTTACGATGTTTTAATAGCCATCAAAATACTTCTGCCAAGTTATCGTTCTTGAGCAGGTAACAGAAATGTATGGCAAAGGACAACGTCACAGCTCCTTTCACAATTAAGATGGCTAAACAATGGAAGAGATCTTTTCCCTAGGAGCAAAATAACGTTCATTTACTGAAACCAGCTGAGCAGCTTGTGTGGAAAGGAAAGTCCTGCATGGTGTTTGTGTTGCTGTACTTAAGACTTGCTTCATTCTGCTTCTCCCTTTGCCTGCTTCTCTGATTACGCTGGTACACCTTGTGCTGGTTCTGACCTGGTTACGTTATAGTCACCCCAAGTGCTTCTGACTGGGCACAAAATACGGCTGCTATTAAATCACTACTTTTGCAGTTGTTGAATAGAAACTACTCAGGAGAATGTTATTTTGTGATTTAGAAAAAAATAAACTGACTAACTGCTTCTGTATAGATAAAACAGATGCTGCTTTTTAAAACTGAAATAGAATCTATTAGAAAAAACTTCTTTCTAAAGTTGTATATACGTGTATATGAGTGTTTACGATAGTGTGAACGAAATCCTCCTTTTATTTGTTGGTATATTATCTCCCCTCCCATGAGTTGCCATGCAGTTTTATCAGAATTGCTTAGAGTGGTCGATTTCACATTGATTCTGACAAAAGTTGTGGCTGAATGTTAGGATATGGTTACTGATACCTGGTGTCTATAGTTGGGCTAGATTTGCATAAATTTGTTCCTTTAAATGAACACGATAATTTGAATGAATATTCTAATCTAAGGATAATATAAAAGAAGATACAGATGTACATTTTAAAGGGAATTATTTGAGTCTATTTTATCAACTTAAAGAAAGAATTTACCCAAGACCAATTTAGAACAGGTGGTTTGTTGACAAATAAGAATGTATCAACCCTTCCAGTAAATGTTTCTATTTTAAGAAAAATTAATTAAAGCTTATATATAGAATGTGCAGGAAATGGAAATAATACATACATTTCAGTATGTACAGTGCTTCCTAATTCTGATTGCACAATTAGTTTATGAAGTAAATGAAGCTAATCATATGTAATGAATGTATACACGTATAGTGCAAAATGCACTTTGGTAACCTTGGTATCAGAGAATGAAACTCCTGGTACTTGAGATGAAGTATCTTCATCTTGAAAAAGTTTTGAAAAGTCAGAACTAAATGCTTTACATTTTTCTTGTTTTTATCTCAGGAAGGGTCACATTGTTGGCTTACAAATGTATGTGTAAGGCCAAAGTCTGCCATTAGTTCTAGGCATGTAATTTCTTTTGGAGTCCGTGGAACAGTGTGTAGATAACTGAGTACAGCATTTGGCTCTGGGTGAAAGCCATGTTTCCTGATGAATTGATTTCTGAGTAGCATTGTCTTCATGGCTGTAAATTTACCCCTGAGAATCAAAAATAGCTCAGGTTAGACCATGTGCTTCCCTCCGGTATATGAACAATCAAACCCTCCATGAGCCATGTAGATTCTCTTCTCTTGTTTGCTCAAGTTCACATGTCTGTGTTATTTTGAAATCTCCCCTTTCCCCTTCACCACAAGTATTGTTAGATTCCATCACCATGTCTCCTACCACACTAAAGCCTCTTCCCTTCACCCTCTGTCTGGATTGAAACACCGCTGCTCCCCTACTACCCCTTACTGCCATCCAGACCATCTTGCCCATGACCACAGGGTTAATTTTTCTACAACATTGCACTGCTTGTTTCTCTTACTCTTCAGTTATCTTCTGGGACTCCTGGTTGCTGCCAAACACCTAGGCTGGGTATTTTGAAAACCTTCCATCATCTGGCACATACTTAACTTTTCCAGTTTCGGCTCCCACTACTCAACAACAAATGTCCTTCTGCTTCAGATAGTTCAGATTTTGGACCATTCTCCAAACACATGCACAGTGCACATTTCAATGCTACACCTCTGCCTGTTTCATTCCGCCTGCCTGTTATACATTTCCTCCCCTTTCCTAGAGACCTTGTCCACTCTTTAAAGCCCAGATCAGTGTCTTTTACTTTCACAATGATTCCCTGACCTTACCTTTTAGAAGCGATTCCTTTTTAGACAGTTTGGTGCTCTATCAGAATTAAGGTACTTTGGGATAGGGTTTGTGTCTTTAAATTCAGAACAGTTTAATGAAGCAATTAGGTGCAAAGCATTGTCCTAAGCACCACTTGGTTTTAGAGCTTTTTATCCCTATGCACATTGTGGATGTTCTATTAACTTTTTTGGCTTTAGATTTCTGATGATGAGTACATGAGAAAGTATAAATAAGTATAAAATCAAGAAAAGCAACTATTAAGTGTGGTTAATAACTTTTTATCTCAATTTCTCAAGGCAAGTCTTCATAGTTTTATTGTGCACAGAGAAGTTACAAGTAATTCTAACTACACTCATGTACCTGATTGTGGAGATGGTGTACCTTGAGAATGAACTAGAAAGAACTATATATATAAAGACTGTATATATACTATATACCTGCTTGTCCTGTGTATGCATCTACCTATCTAAATGCTGTAACTCATATGACTTTTATCACCTTTTGGTACCAGATTAAATTTGTAACTACCTTTGGTATTGTTCATTTAAATCATGGCTCCTTTTATCTGTGGGTCATCATGGATTATAATCTGTCCTGGAACATTAAAATATTTAAATAGCATATTGTGATCCCTTTTTCTTTTTTTCCCTAGATATTTGAAATAGAGACATTTCTCAGATTTATTTTTAATCACTCATGAAACCTGTAGCCTTACTGTGTGAGATAAAACATGAATTAGGATTTTGAGGCAATTTTTTCTGTGTCCACTGAAAGAAAATTCTCTTTATATTTTAAGAGAATTATATTTTAAGATAGCCAAGGAGGTTAAAATTACTCTTCTAAATGTGTTTAGCAAGAATTATTATGGGATTTTCCCATTGAAATTTGTGAAATATTCAATATATTCATTTAGCAGTGGTTTTCCTATGGTTATATTTTTAATTTATTTTTTAGAAGTGAAACTTGGTGGCAAAATGCATATTCTAAACTAATGCTGATTGTGTTTTTCTTTTTTGGAGGATGAGCATTTCTTCATAAAACAGGTGCCCTAAGAAATAGGATTTTACAGAGCTTGCTTAATCCATATTTTTACTTATTTTTCTACACATGTGGGTTTTAGGAAAGTAGCACCTTGGGAATTGAGGGGGAAAGCTTAGACTGAGATTTATTTCAGCAGAAAGATTTAAGAGAGAAAATTGGTAACAACTTGTTAGAAGTATGACATCCAAAAGACTGCAACATAAATTTGTTTATACATTAATTATTTTTAACATATATAGCAATAGGAAGATATGCTAATATAATAAATTTGTTTCCTTAAATCTGAGTTGAAAATACAACAAGGATATTGGTATGAAGGAGGAGGCAAGGAAGGCTTGCAGCACAGGCAGGCCAGATGGCCTGGGTTCAGATCTCTGCTCACTATGACCCTGGGCAAATTACTCTCTATGCCTGTTTCCTCCTCTGTAAAATGAAAATAATAGGGCGCCTGGGTGGCTCAGTTGGTTAAGCGACTGCCTTCGGCTCAGGTCATGATCCTGGAGTCCCTGGATCGAGTCCCGCATCGGGCTCCTTGCTCAGCAAGGAGCCTGCTTCTCCCTCTGACCCTCCCCCCTCTCATGTGCTCTCTGTCTCTCTCATTCTCTCTGTCTCAAATAAATAAATAAAATCTTTAAAAAAAAAAAAAAGAAAATAATAATACTATCTTCCTCATAGAGGGGTTTTGAAGATTAAATGAGTTAATAAAACTTAGTTGCCTGGTAGACTTTTCAATAAATTTAATCTATTATTGCTTTATTATCGCATCCTAAATGCAGTTTTCTGTTTATTTTAATCTTCATTGCACACAAAATTCTTAGACACAGATAGTCTGTGAACTCAAGTTCATAGATCATAGGAAAGGCAGAAGAATGTATTGTTTAAATGTGGAATCTTGTTTGGGACATACTTTGCTGCTGGGTACTGTAACACACATAGTTTGAACGCCAGCCAATCATTTAGCATGGAATTTATGTTTCAAACCCTCCCTTATCACTCAGCAGCCTGCTGTCTTACAGAATCATTACTAAAAAGGCTAAAAAATCACCCACAGCATAGACTGTCCTATGGTTTCTATATTTGCACTTGGAGATAAAGTGTGTTTATACATAGTGCTTGGGTGTCTTTTTTATAGCCTACAACACTGGGTAATGTATGGCAATGGAGACTTCCTCCTCTATAGAAAATAGACTATTAAATTCATCATTCTTTATTTCTTCCCTTAGATGTTTTGTTTTGTTTTACTAACCTAGTAACAGATAAAAATGAAAAGACCAAAAAAGGTCATCTCATGCTAGCTTTAACCTTAACCAAATGGAAATGGATTCTTGCTATTCATCATCCTTAATCCTATTCATTCTTCTTAAACATGACAAGTATATTCCAAAGCAAACAAAAAAAACCCTGTTATATCATAAAGATGTGTGTGTATATTATGGGGTACTCACCATTCTGTATATTTAATTTAACAAAAATATTTGAAACACTCTTATAAACAGGGAAGTTTCTTAGTAGCTTTAGCTCTAACCAACCTTATGCCGGGTAGTTACAGCTTCAACCTGACCATTTGCTTTATTTTTCCCAGTTGAAAGGATACGTTTCTAAAAGATGAGGCAAACTGGGTTTTAGAATTGTCATTCTCTAATGAAAACCTTGCTATAGAAAGAAAGAAGGAAGAAAAGAAAAAAAAAAAAAGAACTTTTCCTGGCTTTACGGAATACGTTATCAAGGCTTTAGGACAAAAATACAGGAACCTCAGGAAAATATATTGGCTTATGTTCTTCTTTCTCCTTAAATGGTCATTCTTGGTCTTTGGCTAATCAGAGAAGGGAAGAGGCTACAGGCAGAATTCCCCTTTCCCTGTGGTAATAGTTGAGGCAGTTTGATTTCCAAGGCAAGGCAGGAGTTATGGAAGAACTTAGAATAAGGAAAGTCAAACATGAATTGAACAGCTTTTGCTGGCTGCTAACCAGCTGATTGCAGAACTTGAGAAACTCCCAGCAGAAATGAAGTAACAGGACGTTAACCAGCACCCCAGTCCCTGAGAACTTTGCTTAAGCCACAGCAGCGCAAAAGAAGGTTGGTGTTGTTTTTCCTTTTTGGGAAATGGTGTCAACGTGCATAATATCAGGTGATTTATGTGTTTCTGAGGTCTGTGAAAGACAGACTAAAAATTTTTAAAACAAATGCAGGATTTATCTCAAGTGATCTGACTTTGATTCCTTGAGGTTCAGGGATTTTTCTCTTTTTGCTTTCTTGCTTAAATTCTGTCACCTACCTCCTTTACCAAAGCATAGATGAACATGATTGTTGCTTCACTGGCCAAAGACCTTATAGGTCTAACCTTGAAAATAGTCCCTTTTTTTTTTTTTTTTGCTTTTGCAACAATTGTAACTGCAATCTTCCCAAGTTACTTTGAAGAAATGAATTATCTGCTGCTTATCTTTGTAAGAAAAAGGTGTAGGAAATCCATGAAATGAACTCATCAGAGTTGGCCGAATGCATTCTTTAAAAAATGATTTGCTGAAGATTTAAAGCCGAAAGACAATTTGATTAAAAACAGTAGACTGTTGACATCACTAAGACAATCAAATTACTGCCAACTTGCCTTGTTTATCTAAAAGATCTTTGTAAAAATAAGATCTTTACGCACACACCACACACACACAGACACAAGAGTCATAGGTGATATGGTAATAGGGATAAAAGGATTTTATTTTTTTTACATCTCTTTAATACACTTCTGTCCTAAGTAACTCATTTTTGAGGTACCACAGCACAACAGGAAAGGAAGAGGCATCGCTGAGTTCATAATGCTATTTCAGTGTGGCAGCCTAAGTCCATGAGGAAATGACAGCCTGGGCCTGTATTTGGAGGCTCACAGTTACTGTGACGACAGCACCCACTCCTGGAAAACAAAGACGGTCTGCTTGCCAGGGTGAGCCAAGAAGAGTTTTGCCAGCTCAGATTTTTCCTAATTATTCTGTAAGTCTTGAAATGTGACACTGGAGATCTTCAAGGCTCTTTGTGTTTCAATAACTGTTTAGTAAGTGATACATGCTTGGGCAGTTTGGTATTTGGATGAGGGAGGGGCCTCACACATAAGCTTAACTTTCACATGTTGTCTTGATAGATATCATCTTCTGGTTTGGACATCACCAAACCAACTGCTTTGATCACAGCCTGTTGTTTGTTCTGGTACATAAGGAAGCCAGCTGCATTGGTAGAATTCACACCTCAGGGGCTCCTCAGTTTTGGATCACATATCTCCACCTTCTATATGCTGTTTATTGTGGAGATCATTGCCCAGCATACCAGGTGTTCTTATCAATGACTGTGCATCTGAATCCCAATTCTTTTTTTTTTTTTTTTTAATTTGACAGAGAGAGAGGGAACACAAGCAGGGGGAGTGGGAGAGGGAGAAGCAGGCTTCCTGCAGAGCAGGGAGCCTGATGCGCGGGGCTCAATCCCAGAACCCCCGGATCACGACCCGAGCCGAAGGCAGACGCTGAACAACTGAGCCACCCAGACGCCCCCTGAATCCCAATTCTTATATGATGATATAATACATAATATAATGGTAATAACTACATATAATACATATCATCTATATAATATGTATTATATAGCTATATATAATTATTTTGTATCTATAGATGATGATAATACTAGATAGCATATACTGGAGATTATTCTGTGCCAGGCATTGTGCCAAGCATTTTACCTGGATGATTTTATTTGCTTCTCATAACAACCCTATGAGGCACTAGTTTTATCTCTGTTTTATGGATTAGAAAAATGAGGTTGGTAGATGGTAAGTAACATGCCCACAGGTAGGTTGGACGTTCAAACACAGGCAGTTTGACATTAGTCAGCCCATATTTTCAACCACTTTCTTGTAAGGTAGGCAGTTGTTCAAGGAAGACATTCACAGAGGTGACTGTGAGATGTTTTAGTGAAAGTTGTAGGATGTGACACTGCAGGGGCTCAGACTTTTCTCCCAGATCCCAGAGTAGAAACAGAAGCTTCAGTGGCCCCTGGAGTTGGGCAACCCAGGAAGAGCCAAGCCTGGGTACTAGAATGCAGAAGCTATTCTTCCACAGTTATTGATGGGGCAGTGTGGTTCTTTTTTGGGAGTGAGAGGGAGAGAGAGAGAAAGAGAATCTTAAGCAGGCTCCACGTCCAGCACAGAGCCCAATGCCAGGCTCAGTCTCACAACCTGAGATTATGACCTGAGCTGAAATCAAGAGTCAGATGCTTAACTGACTGAGCCACCCAGTGCCCATGGTTCTTGGTTTCTACATTGCTGAGTTGATTCCCTGGGAGAGGGTGGCATGGAGCATTTGCTTTTGTGAGTTATTATGGCTCTCTTGTAGCCAGATCCTTTAAAACCATTGGAGTTTTGGTCTCCTTGTGTTGCCTCTGTTGACAACTCAGAACCCCACCTTCTGTTGTAACATTCAAAATGCTCTGCAGATCTCTGCCTTGGTCATTAGCATTCAGTTTGTTAAGTGGGTTCAAGAGGGAGTCCTACAAAATTCTTATTCCAGGTGTTGATAGCAGTGTTCCCTGAAGGTCTTTGGTGGTGCATGTACATTGGTTGGAGGAGGCAATGAAGAAGGGAATAGAAGGTCTCATTCCATGTAAGAGCTCTCATAGGCTCCCCCAAATTTTGCTTAGGTAGTGAGTTGTCAACCTGGTACCATGTTGTTCCTTCAGAAAAAAAAAGGAGAGTTTGCTATAGTTTAAGGAAAATTATCTGATACTTTCAGACAGTGGTTTGCTACTGTGATTAATAGCGTGAACTATTTTATTGGATATTTTATTTAATTCTTTTATCTTTATTAACCAAGAATGACTACTAATGATGCTAAATGTCTGATCACTTGGATATAATTAAAATTCTTGAGTTTCTATTTACATGTATGGCATTTAACTTTTGGATTATCTGAAGTAAAAGGAGAGCAGTTCTAATAAAATTTTGATGGAGCAGATAATGCTTTGCTTTTTCTTATGCCTGTGTCCATAAATACTCTATGTATCAAATATCCAAGGTGATGGGATTGAATATTCTAGGAACTTGAGTGTTTCATGTGAAGTGAGCACATAACAGAATGAATCTCCACCCTCTGAGAAATTTTATTCTATGAATTGAAAACAGTATCTTGTCAAAAATATATTAGCACACCTTGCCACCACCCCCCCCCCCCCCCGCCAACATACACATCAACACTCATTACTGGTCAATACACAGGACTTATACCACTGCTTACCTGACATGCTAAACATCTTGCAGCAAATATACTCTTTGCTCTGTGTCATAGGTTTATTTAATTCAAAATAAAGGTAGTGATATATTAAATGTCATCAAGTCCCTCTGTTTCATTCACATGGTCTCCCCTGATTTCCTTCTAACAAATGAACTCAGAACTTTCCTTATGTCATTTCTTATCTTTATGTAAAAGGGTGCAACAGTATCGAAGGAGGGAAAGGATTAGTGTTATATCTATTGGAGACAAAGGACTGTTGGCTTCTGGAAGGTTTTTTTTTCTTCTTCTTTCTTCTCATTCAGTTATTCTAAATCTCTCTTGGCAACAAAACTGATATGGCTCTTAAGTGAAAGATATTAACAGTTTATCATATTAATGCAGGAGTTTTCTGTCAGAGCTCCTGGTTCTCTTTGGACTTCTGTACCTGGTCTGATTTCAAGCAGGAATGGGGACTCCGAGTCTCACATTGTCAATGATTATACAGCTTTGGCCTTGGAACCACCCATATCCAGCAGGACACGGGACTCTGAGCTCACTTGGAATTATTGGGTCATCCAGTCTTGAGGCTCTCAACACTCCCTGTGCATCAGGATCAGCAGGGATGTTCTAAAAATTCAAATGCCTGGGGCTATCCCCCAGAGGTTCTGATTCAAGTTGACTGACTAGGTTTTTTGAAGCTTTTATGTGATTTTTTTTTTTAAGATTTTTTATTTATTTATTTGAGAGAGAGAGAATGAGAGACAGAGAGCATGAGCAGGAAGAGGGTCAGAGGGAGAAGCAGACTCCCCGCCGAGCAGGGAGCCCGATACGGGACTCGATCCCAGGAGTCCGGGATCATGACCTGAGCCGAAGGCAGTCGCTTAACCAACTGAGCCACCCAGGCGCCCTTATGTGATTTTAATGTGCATCCAGGGTTGTGAACCAGTTACCTAGTACAACCTCATCACTTAAAAGAAGATAGTACTAAGATGAAGAAAAGAGAAGTCACTTGGCAGAAGTTACAAATTCCAGTCTATTACCCTTTTTATCACATGATCATAAGAACAATAAAGTAGCTAATACATAATGAGTGCTTTCTATGTATTAGGCAATAGCAACCCCATGAGGCATATATTCATATACTCTACATTTTATAGATAAAAAGGCTGAGGGAATTGCCCAAGGCTCTCCAAAAAGCAGGTGGCAGATCTGGGATTTGAGTCAGGCAATTGGACTCCTCAGTTTGTACTCTTTTTTTTTTTTTTTGAAGATTTTATTTTTATTTTGAGAGAGAGAGAATGAGAGACAGAGAGCATGAGAGAGAGGAGGGTCAGAGGGAGAAGCAGACTCCTTGCTGAGCAGGAAGCCTGATGTGGGACTCGATCCCGGGACTCCAGGATCATGACCTGAGCCGAAGGCAGTTGCTTAACCAACTGAGCCACCCAGGCGCCCCCTCAGTTTGTACTCTTAATCTCTTCATTGCTTTGCTGTTCTGGAGCTAACTCTGAGAATATAAGGTGTTGAATGGTAGCTGCTTCCTTGTGTCAGCATCAGTAGTCTTGTGGCAGCTGGCCTTGGTGCTCTGATAACTAAGTGAGCTTTCTGCTTGGCTAAAGATTGGGTCCTTGCTTTCTCTATTTTCCCAATAAGTGAGTCAAAGTGGAAGCAACCTGTTCTCTTAGACACTGTTCCAAGGTGCTCCATTTCCGCAGTGGATTTGTTTCTATATAGTGTCTTTCCTTTCCCTTGTGGACTGATATAATATCTTCTGCCTTACTTTTGGGCACATAAATTTTTTTTTTCCAGTGGAAATTCTAACCACAAACTCTA